CATGGATCGGGACGTCGTAAAATGTATGAAAAATAATCATGACATTGCGTATATAATTCAGTGTGTGTGAATATTTATCGGTAGCAGTAAGAGAGAAAGAGAACTGGTGAAGTGAAGACAGAAAAAGCAAAAAGAAATTGTTTTGTGTTCATTTAACCAAAAAAAAAACAATCAGATTTCTCAAGAGGCGTTGGGAGGACGAATTGCTATACATCGAACAAAAGCTCGAATTCAATTTTATTTACAAGCAAAATATTAAATTCTTTCATTTTGTCTATAGCCAAAATATATATAATCCTCCTATTAATTAAAAAAAAATACCGAGACAGTAATACGAGCGCCACCAATCATCGAGATTTTCACATGTCAATGTTTGAAAATGCTATTGAATATTCGAAAACACAGCGAAGCAATAAGTTGTCGATGCTAATGAATCATATATCTGAGTCAATCCATATATTTCTTAGTGCACTGAAGAACTATAATTAGTCAAGAGATTAGATCAAACGAATATCATGATTTAGAGATGTCTATCATAATTAAAAAAAAAACAAACTCAAACAATCAAAATATGACTCTTACAATATATAGGTCTGTAGTGACTTTATCAGCATGTTTGAGTAAAAATTTTCATTAAAGTACTATATTGTTATTTTCTTTTTGATAAGTTGATGAGTACTGTATACTATTTTTCGTATTGAAGTACAAGTGCAAGGGCAAAAGTACTCATGTCAAAGTACAAGTATAATATGTTTACTTTCGATACTTGACCTTGTCCTATCTCTATTATTTATGTATTTTTCAGATGAGTTTTTCTGTGGAATTGAATTTGGAAGAACTTCTAAATACTTCTTAGTATTTCCCCATACTTTCGTAACGCTTTCTGGTGGTTATATACATCAAGAGTAAAGAAGTACGCTTTTTCTTCTTCATAGATTTTATCTTTATCAAAATCGATACTGTTAATACTAAAATATGAGTCGATCGAATGAACAAAAAATGTTAATTCGACTAAGACGATACTTATTCAAGCCATTTTGATAAAAAGGCTAGAGGTGTGGGTGTAGATCTTCCCTTCACCGACACTCCAAGAAAACAATTTTTGTTATTGGTATCTACTATACATTGATCAAACGTAGAAGAGAAAATGGTCTCAGAAGGTAAGAGAAATTGCATTTCCCAATGAATTAACGAAAAATAAAATGAAAATTAATCATATATTTCGTCGTGACATTCTTGAAGCTCAATCGTATAGTCGATAGAGTCAGGTTCGATGGCAGTGAATCTAACACTTGTTACTTCGAAAGTTGAATATGGTAAAATAATGATCTCCTCTTCACCTTCCACAGCAGATAGATTTGTGATATCTAGTGCAGTTCGTCGAACACCTGGTCTTAAGGTATATACACATATACATGTTACTGAATCTGGACGTTTGCCGGTAAAATAAAGGGCAACTTGCTTGGATTTTGAGGTCGACACGAATGTTTTGTTCATAAGATGTGCACCAACACGATACGATGCTACAACCTCCTGTGGCACGGTCATGCCACGATAAACTTTCTGATTTTGATTGGGTCGATACTTCTCTAGTTGCGGATGATAGACAAAAATACAGGCAAAGTCTAGTGGACCATACCAATATGTCATAAACGGAGCATCTGGATCCATGCCAATGTCATTCAAATTATTAGTGCTTACCAAGTTGGCCAAATGCGAATTCACAAGAGCATGAAAACTATTCGCCAATGTATACGCTTTCACTACTTTTTCAACATCATCTCGATCGTAAGCTTCTTTGAGCAAATTGTAAATATCTTGGTATGCTTTCGGACCCAAAGGGGCTTTCAAATCACCTTCCAAATATAGAGTCCTGATTTCGTCAACAATACTAGAAAAGCTATTGCATTCCCATGTACGTCGCAGACTGCGTCGATAGTTTCGTACTCGAATCATCACTACAGTATCGACTGTAACCCATTCTTTGTTCATTATGGGTGAGTCTTTAACCCAACTGGGACGTTGACCCATCAAAAATGTTGCGTTCAATTAGAGTTTTATTGAGAAACAAATATTCAATGAAATTGAAATCTAAAACAAACTAATTTCTTGCGAAAAATTGAAAAATAAAAACATGTTCTTCACCATGATAGCCACAATCGTTTGACCTCATGACAAGGCTTTTCTTAAGTGACTGACTGGAGCAATCATGATTACTCACCGACAACAAAACTTTTCGTGACAGTAAGATGCAATTGTCGTTGCCCATTTATGTTTTTTTTTCTTTCTTGATAAATATCGTTTTCAGGGCACATTCTTAAAACACTGAAAGCAATCAGTGACAACATTTATTTTTCATTCAGACAAATCAAAGGGAGCACGTTTAGTCTTTTACAAATGGAGCACAAAAAATCTTTTTTTCTTTCAAAGAGAATATATAATGTTATGTTTTGACCCTTTCCAATGGTAATAAAAAAATTAAAAGACAGAATATATCAATACGCCGGCGCAGAAAAAACACTTTTATGCCTTACTAATATTTGTTCTTTGCCTTATATTTGGCTTGTAAGAATAAAAATGAGTGTTGTTTTGAATAGTAGACAGTGTGTGTCTTTTTTTTTTAGCCAAGCTGGATCCTACAAAATATTACACGGCGGCAGAATGGACTGACTTTCTCATTAATACAGTGAAGCTACCTGAATTTATGAAAGAAGAAATAGAAAAGTCAGCCTTATTACTGGAATATCATTGCATGACCATTGGCTACTTTGTCCATCTGTCTGAGGAAGAACTGGTCAGTTGCATTGAAGATCAATCTAGCATGTCTTTCTGTTCTTTTTAACGATGAAATTGTAGAACGGAAATTTTACTGAAATTATCTCCATGCGACTATTCATTAGACGGTCTTTGATAACTACTAACCTTGTCTACTTTGCGTTTACTCATTTATTCTCAACTGAGAAGAAATAATTCTATCAGAGTCTGTGGAATAAACCAGAGAGTAGATGATTCACCTTTCTCAATCGTGTTGTATAAATTCGAAAAACTTGTCATCAATAGTATATTATTTAAAAAGTTCTATTTTCCTCGAAAATATTGTTTCAATTTTTTGTCTCCTTTTCATTGATCTCTGTTTGAGAAGAAAATTCTAACTTGCAAAAAAAGACTCAAGCAATGAATATATGTCTATTTACATCGAGTAAATATTACAGAAAATTGTTTTTAGGTCTTCCTCGTTGAAGCTTTAATACGTTAACATATTAATTTTGGTTGATTCTTTAGCGACTGGAGCAATAGGTCTAGCAAAAAAGAAACAGTACATGTTGCACACTCACTCACAGAACTTTGAGTTTGAAACAAAATACGCTAAGATTGGTTTTAAGTTTTTCACAATGTTATACCTTTTGATTTTCAGTCAAATTCCACGGTGATAGTTTAAGATAGCAAGTTGAAATTTAAGATGAGAAATGTCGCTCAAGTTGCTGTTGGTCTAACAAAACGAAAAGTTCACAGTCTATTTTTGCGCTTGTTTTCTTTAGAGAACAAAATTCAAATTCGAACGCGAAGGTTTAATCAAACGGATCATAGAATGGAAAAAATCGTTATCTACTACAACTACGCCGGTTTCATCTTCAAGTAGTGGACAACCATCCTTATCTCAAGATGTGAATCCACTGATAAGTCTTGCTAATAATGCCAAAGCAACTATCAACACAGGACACATAGAATCGGCTATGTTATCATTAGCGGCGAATAGTCAAACTAATGTACCCGAAATGGCTCAGAATTATTTATCAGCTATTAATACCTTGGAAACGTTTGGTGAAAGTATGGTACCTCCAGAACGACGTATTTACTATCGATGTAAAGCATGTAATCAAGTCGTCTGGTTGTCACAAGAAATGAGTGCGTTCATAAACTTTCCTGGTTGCTTCATGTGTCAGACGGAATGGCTTAATAATCTATGTAAATTCAAGTGAAATAAGATTCAGCACAGACTGAATATGGATGAGAGATGTATTCCATCTACTACCCACTTGAACTTACACATTTACCGACTCTTTCTTTATTCGTATGTGCATAATTTCATGTATTACCAATACTCAAATATTCCGTAATATGTAGAACACCTCAGACAATGCTCTGCCTTGAAACAAAAGAAATAAAACATCGCTCCACTAGTAGAAAAGCACAGCTCTCAAATAACAACATTGAATCAGACAACAAATTGTGTGATGTTGTGCTCATAGGAGTACAGTTTCAAATCTAGAAGAATCCATTATTGGCATAGCACGATGTGTGTGTATGTGGGTGGGGAGGGACCAGTCTGGCTAATAGACGAAATGACCCCACATCCACATCTATATGAATCTTTCATAATATTAACTTACTAATGGGAAAATTTGATCTATAGTCTTATCATCTCGAGCAATCGCATTATTCTTTTGCACACGAGAATTTCTTTGGTTGCATTTCTATCATTCGTACTTATTTTTTTTCTTTTTGTTCAATGCATGTTCACAACTATGGTATTTTTTGAACTCGATTCAACCAACATGTCCCAGATCATTCGATTACTAACTAGGACCAATATTAAATCAGTAATGGAAAGTGTTTAAATGTATGCACCTTGCCGTATCTTTCCCTTCCCATATTCTGCATGTTGTTTTGCTCTTGCTCATCAATATCGTCTTGTATTCATATGTATATACAAAGATTCTCAATAGTTATTACGTAGAAGAAGAAAAATAAGAGATGTAGAGATGGACAAGTTCGGCAACGAACATGTATTGGCTCCTTCAGAGCAATGTAGTGAACGTAATTCCTCTGTATTGATATGAGATTGATGTATTTGTTCATTTTCGATTGATTAGTTTAGAGTACAAGACATTCTACGATATATGCGTACTGCTCTTAGAGCTTATACTTATATTAAATGAGCATAGGAAAGCATAAAGTTTTGTCTAGTAAACATTCCTGTTGTACGTAGCGCGATATAATCTTTATCTATCAACATAATTTCAATAATTATTAGTTAAACAAACAAATTGATTACCCGATGATCAAAAACAAGTATTAGACGACGATGAGATACATAAATCTTCCTTGAAAGTAAGTTGTATATTGTGCGTAACTAGACTATAATAACATTGGTAGGAGCCTAAGATAAATTTGTCTCTATAATGTGTCTTTTCGATGGTATAATCTCATGGCTGCATCGTCTCATAAAATTTACAAAAATCCTCAGTTAAAAAACAAAATTTTATGAATATATTGCATATACAATAATGGATTGATTGGTTCACTAAAAAATGCACTACACTTTTTTCTTCATCAAAACATCAAGTGACACTCAGCTGATGGTAAATTGAAAGTGTTAAGAAGGTTGCATTGATGATAATTTCATACTATTGCTTTTGTGAATAACTTCATATGTACACATTCTGTTTCAAAGTAAAGTGTCTCTATAGAACTGATGCATTTCATTCGAAATTCTTGACAAGTAACATTAAAAACAAATGATTCTTAGCGAATGAGAAATCATTGTTGAACATTTGTATCATGGTGTAATGATGTAGAATGAGCATGATATAAATAAACTGGTAACTGGTCTAATGGTGAAACCGGTGAACACTTTAAAAAACCAATGACGAAGCCCATTTTTTAATACTATTTGCAGTCGAAATATTAAACGAATGACAATTAAGCAAAATACCGGTCTTTACCGTAGGTATTTAAAAGATTCACCGGTTTCATAGTTAGACTAATTATTCGTAGAACGATTTCTCGTGGACCAGTTATCGTCAACATTGCATCTCTAGTCAGAGTGAAAGATGTGAGCGTAAGACTTTGAAGTAACAGACAAAACTCTCACTAGCACTCTCACTTATTCAGCTCTACTGAGTCCAAACACAATGGAATTAGATTGACTGTTCGAGAAAGAAATCTTATGTATTCGTCGATGTACTAACCTGCTAGTATTGAAAACTTTTAGCGTTTTCTCTAAATTGTTCAAATCCTACAAAAATGTGTATTTTGAGCACTTAATGATAAGAAAAAGAATAGTACTCTCTTCTCCTAGATTGAAATAACATTTAGACTGGAATAGGAGTTAGCACAGTCATGAATCAGATTCTTTTTCAGAATGAGCAACTGATCATCTCGAATTGAAGATGTAAGTATTTTTTATTTTGAATATCTAGTGTACAGTCTCATGAAAATCATGTCTAGACTTGCTCATAGATTCACTAAAACTAAAACGGTTAGCCATCAACTATATTGATCAGTTCCATTTATAATCTGCGGATTCTCGGAAAGTAAATTGAGGTTTTGTGAGAGCGTAAAAACAGTTATGTAATGCTCGTACCACACTACTTATTCTTGTAGGAACATCAATAGAAGAAGATGTGACGTGCAGATCAGTAGTTTTAGTTACAAAATTACTATTCAATACCATGCATGGAGCGATTTCTGACCTAATGTTTAGCGGTGTTGAAATACGATATACATTCAAATAATATTTCTTATGTTTATCTCTCTGAAACTGATCTTCTGTCTAATCCGATATGTATTTAGTCCTAAAAGTCCTATTGTTGACCACTATATAAAAATAACTATTGAGAAAGTTACGAATGAAGAAATGTCTAAAGTTTCACCATAAACAAAAAAAAGCCTGTATGAAAACTGATGGTTTTAAAATAGAACTTATCTTTCTATCGAAGGTAACATTTATTTTGAGATAATGATATGATATAGAGACGAAGTAGCTTTTTTCTTTACCTATTTCGGGTGCAACTGATAAAAGAAGAATCTCTGAGCAGCATGAATTATCTTGCTGACGAATAAAAATACAGAACAGGTAGTCTTGTTTAAAAGAAACATGTGATTAGACAAAGTTTTAGTTTCTATTATCTATCTTAAATATACATTGATTTACTGTCATCGTAGGATGCTTTGTAAGTTAAGCTGAATTATTTCACTTTCGATAATCAATGAAAAATGATCGTTGAATTTTCAGCGTTCATCATGCTAATTTCACTGTCTTTCATGCAAAGTGTCTATCCTAGAATGTCAACTGTTCAAAATAATTCTTCAACTACATTATCTTTGGATGAAGCTTATTTGATCGTACGTAATACTAACTATTCAAATACTATTGCATTATTCGGCAATAAACTTATATGCGAAGACTGCAATCTTGAAAAAATGATCGTAGTTAAACCGATTCAAAATTCTACTATGATTATCAATACAAAATATGGATATAATTTTGAACTTCGATTATGGCCATCTAACGTCTCTTTATCATGCAAGATTGCATCATACAAATTTGCCGAACATGGTACATATATACTTGCTATTATGGAAGTTAAACAAGATACGTGTCTTTATTCCATAGAACAAATTGGAAATCCAAGCCATTATTGGACTCCTGTTATCATTGGTATCCTGTTCGTAGTTTTTTATACTATATTAGCTCAAATCTGGCACCATGTATACCATAGACATTATTTTTCTCATCATCATTCGGATGATTCGCGTAAACAATTTATCAATAATAACCTTAAAGCAAACGTATCAGCTTCAACAATAAATATCGAACAAAAAGTTATAAATGAAACCAATGAGGATATTAACAGCCCTACTACCAATACTAGTGCATTACCATTGCCTGGTTCAACATCTGTATCTGGAGATAGTACTCGTATGAAAAAAGCTTTGCCAAAACGTCTTCGCGCTTTGGATACTTTTCGAGGATTCTCACTTATGGTTATGATCTTTGTTAACTATGGTGGTATGTATTTTAGTTATATCACACAAATTTTCGTTTGAAGAAAATAGTATCAGAATCATTTGAAATATGTTAATCAGATACGATAAAGAAAGAGAAAAATGTACAAGAAAACATGATTTTGAAAATATCAGATCCTGCTTGGATAGAAATGATTAGGTGAATGTATATAGAGGGTCAAGGTTGTATAGGCACAAACTTTCACTTTTTCCTTATTCATTGACACTCATTTCCATGAATTCTCATTATTGCTAAAAAATCTTGTAATTGTCATATATCACTCACATTTTCCTCTTATAGTCTCATTTTTCATACTTCACTCACAAGTAGAATCATTCGAACAGTGCCTATAATTCAATCGATGCTCAAAGGTTGAATATGTCTGCTAAAGTTCGAATCAAACTGAAAATACATAAGCCTTATATAATTATTACTATGTAAGTTGAATAGAATTTATTTTCCAATAATTACTCGACCGAAATTATCCTTATACCACTGAAATTCTTATGTTTCAACTTGCAAAATCAATCGAAAACTTGACGATTCTATATTACTTGTTCATTCCATTTTTGCACGAAATGTCTACGAATGATTTTCATTTGTATGCGAAGCTGATTTTCTAATTATGTAAAATCATTATTCAAAACTGTTTTTTATTAGAGTTTCAATATCATATCGAAAATGACATAAAACCTATCTAAAAGATATATAACCATAATAGGCTTGAAAACGGCCTGGTATGGCTTGCCTGTTAGCGACCCATTTCGTTTTTTTTTTATAATTGCTAAGTTTTCACTAGTTTTAAAATAAACTCTAGTACATTTCCAGCCGATACATTTCTGAATGTCAACAAAATTTCAACTCTAAATGTTGAGACTGGCCTTCTTCATCTTACAATGAAGACCTTGCAACATGTTTTTATTATAAAAATATCAGAAAAGTTTCCATTTTATTGTAAAAACTTTTCTAACTGCTAGCATTATACAACTTTGCAAATATATAGATATTAACAAACCTTAAAAAATGAAATCAGGTCCGGAAATTGAACTTTGTAGCTCATTTTCTTTTGTTTTCCTGTCTGCAATAATACTCTTGCAAGAATTGAAGACTTTTTGGAAATAAGACCTGAAAAAAAAAATATCCCTCAAAAAGCTCATTGAGTTTTCACTATATATGTTTTATGCTAGTGAATACATTCTAAATGCACGATGAATGGACTCAAGCAATTCCAGGATGAATTTACTTTCTCTCTGTATAATCACAAATCAGCATATGCATGTCAATAGTTATTATTTTATTATTAACTGTAAAAGAAAGAGTAGAATTTAGAGAATTGTCGAAGACTCTATCATTTCCCAATTTTGCAGTTTTAGCTACATAAAATCTATCTTGACAAGACCTTTTAAATCTGTTTTATAGGTGGTGGTTATTGGTTTTTTGATCATTCGAGTAAGTCAAACCAAAGTAGAATTATTGTTTTAATTTGAATATTGATATTTGTTTCTAATTAGTTTGGAATGGTTTAACATTGGCTGATCTTGTCTTTCCTTGGTTTACATGAATGATGGGCGTTTCAATTGTTCTTTCCCAACGATCACTTCGTTCAAAAAACATACAAAAACGAAATATTCTATTGAAAATTTGTCGACGAACAATTATTCTTTTCGTTTTAGGTAAATAAGATAATTGTATATGATTTCGTTTTTTTGATCAGCATGGCTTTGAAGAATATTCGATATAAATATATACATAGGATTCACCGGTCAAGATGATATAACAAAATTAGAAAATCTTCGAATTTTTGGCGTTCTTCAACGATTGGCGTCGTGTTACTTTTGTACTGCTATAATTGTTCTTATCTTTGACAAAAAGAACGATCAACGAGATACAACACAATCCTCCACTAGTAAAATATATTTTTATTCTTTTTTTTTTTGTGCTATAATAAAAATCTTTATTTTACAGATGAAAATGTAAAACAACCCTTACATACAGAGATATTCAAAACTACTTTTCAATTTTGGGCTGAATGACTTGTTGTTCTAATGATCACGACTGTTTGGATTCTGATAACTTTTCTTCTTCATGTTCCAAATTGTCCAACATGATATTTGGGTCCAGGTGGAAAACATAATCATGGAAAATATTGGAATTGCACCGGAGGTGATTAAACATTGATTCTTCTAGCATTGATTTTATCATTTCGTTTTCACTTTGTAGGAGCTGCTGGATACATTGATCGATTGATTTTAGGAAATTCTCATTTATACAATGAGCCAACTTGCAAAGAAATCTACCATACTAAAGTACCATATGACCCGGAAGGTAAACAAATTAATTCATAAAGAATTAAATAAATACGTAAAACTTTCATTTTAGAAAAAACGAATTTCTTATATCCGAATTCTCACACCGATTTTCTCTGAAAACAATTTAGTTTCGCTATTGTTCCTTAAAAACGATAGTTCTTTTAGAAAGAGTTTCGCTTTTGATCATTTTAAAACGTCGATTAGAGTATGTAAGAGTTTTCAAACAAGAATAAGATTCATTCTATATGTAGATAGAAAGAAAAACGAAATAATCAATTAATATTATTTAATGAATAACATATGTTCAATTCTATCGACTTTTTTCAAAAGTCAAATATTCTATGTTGATCTTTTATTCTTGGTGATGAATGACTAAGAATACAGATTGATAGTTATTCGTCCATAATTATTCTAGTTTCAAAAAATAATGTATAATATTGTTTCCAATAGAAAAAGATATGATCGGATACGATTTCTAAAAGATTTTCTACATGATAGGTTACAACTTAAAACTACTTTCTGCTATTCGATAGTGGAATATTGATTATATCAGATAAATTGTTACGATAAAATTAATTTTTTTATATTCAGATATATTGGGTATTCTCACTGGAATTCTTCTCTGTTATCTTGGTGTTCAAGCTGGACATTGTTTTATTTATTCTACTCGTGTACTTCGCATTTGTGGTCATTGGCTAGTCTTAGGTATTATTTGTGGTTCTATTGCTTTGATCTTATCACGCGGTGGTCATTCGAATAGTTTGATTCCAATTAATAAAAATCTTTGGTCACTTACATTTGTATTGATGTTAGCTAGTTTAGCTTTTATTATTCTAACTATTCTTTATTTTCTTATCGATGTTAATCAATGATTTACTGGTAGTCCTTTTCTATGGTTAGGTATGAATTCGATTGCTATTTATATAGGTCATGATCGATTTGCAAATAGTTTTCCCGTACAATTTGAAGTTGACAATACACATGCTAAGCAGCTTGCAATTCACCTATACGGTGCATTTTTTTGGTCATTTGTTGCTGCTTTCATGTATTATAAGAAAATTTTTATAGCTATTTAATAGAAAAGAATAAATATGATGTCATTCTTTCCAATTATTTTTGGTCAATTCGGAGAACATTGTCTCAAAGGTGAGCTTTCTTTCCTATAAAGATTGTGAATGAATTGGTCGAAATTTGCATTTTTGAGTCTCATTCAGCTATTCTTTTAACCCATTTTTTGTATTGAATGAAATCTACTAATAGCTTTGGATAGATCAGAAGAAAAATGCTCACAACTAGTACGAAGAACTGAAAAGAGCTTAATAGATTTTAATACAGAAAATGTGTCATTTTGAGTAGAGACAAACCAATTTATGAGACTTTTCATCAAGAAGTCAATTATTCATAGTAGTGACAATTAATAGACTCCTGAAAATTCTTCATTCAGGTAGTAATCAGTTTTTTCGGCTCTACTCGATTTCTAATGAATTCTAGACCAATTCTGCAAATTTTGTTTCGTATTTCATGAATAATGACTAATTTCGAAGAGAACAATAAAGCTGATCATGGCAGATTTGAACAATTGACGTTTAGCTACATTCTTAACAAAGAGAAGGATGGTCATATTAGAGGCTATGTTCTACGATTTTGGTACGTTCTTAGTTAACATGAATACGATGCTCAAATCTACGAGCACGACAAATTATCAAGATATAGTATCCAATAGTCTTCTAAACAACAATAGCTTATGACATAAAACTCCTGTGTGAGTGCGAATTTTTCTACAGTCAAAAAATAATCCGAAGAAATGCCAAAATACGTATGAATAGCATATGACTTCATTTCTATAAATATCGTCAAAATCAATGTCTCAATGTGAGCAGGTTTTTTTCGAAAAATGAAAAGCATAACATTATGTTTGGCTTTTTGCAGTATTTACATATGAACTCAACTGTTTTACAATCTGCTGCGCTGAGATTTATATCACATGCATATTTGATTTAGTCATGTTTCTATTCCAAAACTAATGTATTTCTCAGAATATTCTGGCAACTAGTGATATTTTAATCATGCATGTCAACAGTATGGATTATCTTTGCTTCTGACTACCATGCATATTGAATCCAAAGCAGCATTTAAAATGATTCAATATATGAAATTCGAAATAACATATTCAAGTATTCAAATATTAATTGTTCAGTATGATGTCGCCCGTAGATATCACAGTGAACTTGACGATCATGAAAAACTAACTTCAGCCTGAATGTCGAATGTTTACATATCGGAATACAATAGTTGAATATTTTAGTAATTGACTAGTTGAAACAGATGTGAATAAGTTAACACAACTCTCAGACTTGACACTAATGTTACCTAAAAAACAAATTCCTTCCTAGAGGAATATCGGCAGAAGCTAATGTGTGTGTTTATATTGAGAATAACTTTCATTCCGGATAAATTTTCCTCAATATCTATCAAAGATCAGATCGATGAGGGTTTCATGAACAATATTGTCTCGTTCAATGAGGGTGTGGGTGTGAATGGAATATATATATAAGTACAGCCACATCCACACCCACACCCTATATTGAAAATGATAGCCAGTTCGATACTACAATAAATAAATGAATTGAAAAACATGCTTTTCGCACTAAATAATCTGGATATTATAAATGATTGGGTTAAATGAAAGATGAAGAGCGTAAATCGTAACATAACAAAATCTACTGTGTATATATATTATCATCTTGTATCAGGTACTTCTATATATATATTGTAACATTTGTTTTCATATATAATGAAGTCTACTGTGGCAGTTCGTGTCGCATCTTCTTTTTTAGCATCATTTTGAAAATCTTTTTGTTATACTTTACATTAATATATTCTATTTGATGCTCAAACTCATTGTGTGTTCTCATGCAAAAGCAGATTCATAATTGCTTCTCATAGCACTACAACGAAACGTGATGTGAACATTTATTCAACTCGAACTTCCAGTTCATTGGACAATAGACAAATAGACGATCGTAGCTCTCATCAAGTTATGATAAAAAATCGATCAAAGGTACATAGTACGAGAATAGGCTAAGTTCAAAAAGCTCGAGATAAAATATAAAATTTGTAATATAGTGTAACATAGAGGAATAAGAATACAAGAGTAAGGATGACTTGTATAAAAGAAATCTTACACAACAACTATATATAAATTAGATAACCTGTGAAGTTTTGAACATCTTCGTCAAAAAAGTCAGATATTTTCAATACCAAAAAATCTGTTACTTTACTAGCTAGTATACATCATAAATCTTTACTCTAATGACAAGAGACACAAGAAAAAAAAATGCTATCCTTTTTCAACTGTTACCATTGTGCTGTAGTCATGCTCAGTGTTCAGTTCATTTTTTTTTCGTCACTTTCTGTTAACTTTTGACATCATGCTCGCATTTATTTCTGTACTACAAAACGTCTAAACACAAGACCATAATTTTTTCAGCATTGAAGCAACAACTCATGTTATCTTTTGTGCGTGCTTAATCATTTTCTCTCAGCAATGCTTCATCAGTCAAAACAAGATGCAGATAATCATCTCGAGCTATATTGCAAGTGATTGTTTGATGATCATAGCAATGAAGAAACGCTCAATAACGAGAGGATGATTGATCAACATTTCATTGACAAGAAAGAATTTCGTCATGACGAAGTCAATGGAAGAAGAATATGCTTCGAAGATGTTATCGGTTCCTTCAACGGAAGAGCATGTTTACTCAATTCTTGACAAAAATATATTAATCGATTAGTTGAGAATGGATGCTCAATTATGCTTATAAACTGCTGCAAATGAGCCGAGTACATCAGTAGGTAGATAGGAAATAAAAAATGCGTGAAGGAATACAATATTCAGAGGAGAAAACATCTCGAATTTGACCAACTTGCTCAATAGCTGTTTCGTTGACTATGAGATACATTACTAAATTTGTCCTCTTCTACATGTGAATGCCACAAAAGTATTCATTATCGTCAACTACTATTGTTGTCTCAATCACTGTATAAGTGTATTTCTCACAGCTTCAGTCATAGTCCTGATTGATACTTGATGAAGAAAAATTCGTATTTGATAACAATGTAGGCATCACAATGAGCAACTTCCTTGTCGCATGCAGCTCCTTTTACTTTCGCAACTTAGATTGTTTCGCCTTTTTTTTACTCTATTCTCATAAAAAAATCGTCATAAGAATATCTATCTTACCTCCAATTTGAAGAGTGCTCACAAACTTCACCAATATTTTTTATGCATGCATGTCCATCTATACTCGTACTCTTCATATAATTTTATTGGATGCATGCGATACACCATCCACATGTCATATCGATGCTTTTACTTATACTTTTATCGTATTAGTCATCTGTACGAACGCAAATAATTGTTAGTAAGTTAGAAGTTTGCACTTTATTTGTCGTTATCATGCATCGATTTGACTCTTATAATCATATTTTATTGAAATCTATGGGATTTCCTATTATGTAAAATGCGTTAAATGTAATTTAGCGCACTATCATATAGTTGCTCTTGGTAGTTAATGGCTCATTTAAATCGCGGACAAGGATTAGTTTGAATGCTTCTATTGAATTCTCATTTAATTGGTCTCACGACATTCATAATTGTTCAAATAAGTACTTGTTTGTATACATTTGAGAACATCATCAAAATTAACTTGCAATTTTTGAATTTGTACTGCCAATAAAAATAGACCTTCCTATGACTAAGTAAAGAGACACTGGTTGAGTTTATGCAAGGAATCTATGAGAAAGATTGAAATAATTTCAACTCAAGGGATCTTTCTTTGAGCGTGATACATATTGAACAGCAACTTTACTCAAACTATGTTAATCATAATTTACTTTATAGAATGTATATTTTTGATTTTAGAAAAATATATATCATCTGTTATTTACTGTGAGTCAATACTGAAATAAACCCAGTGAGTTTCATGACTAAAATATGGAAACATTTTTTTCTTCGCATACTATTTGTAGGTGATCAGTTAAACATATAATCACAGTACATCGACAATACACGATGAATGATTTGTTACGAGAGTCGGATCAAGGTCTTGAACAACAACATCTATCTTCTTCATCGTCATGTGATTATAGATATGCTACGACTGAACAATCGTCAACATCGTGTGATAAACCGGAAGACATTGAATTGTCACCAAAATTTTTTAGGTAAACTACGTAGTATAACAATAGACATTTTTTTCTGTTAGCAGTTGAATCGAGGGAGTAGTGAACTCAATGAAAGACAATCGTAGTCGGCTAGGATATTGTGTGTCTTTCTAACTTCACTTTCGACATAGTGAGCAGTTCTTTTTTCACAAATAGAAAACTCCTTTTACTCTACTTACTACTCCAACAATTCAATGGTTCACGATCCCGCTCTCTTACATCTTTCGAAATATAATTATCTTCTTCTTATATATGACAACATACTTTTCTCGATTGATGTTTACATTTCGCAGCACTTCGCAACTCTCTCCGCATGTAGCAACATCGGACTCTTCATTTACACATGGCGTCGATTGGAGCGATCGTGCTCATTTTGCATCTCATTGTTGGTTACCCTATTCGTCAAGTAACTCTATTGCTTCGCCTTCAAAAATCGATCTTTCGTCCACACACTGTAAACATACTACTGATTTACCTCTTGTGGAATGTGCAACATGTGCTTTGATCTTGCATGCTACTGACATTGTTGACTTGTCAAGATCGACAACGAATGTTGATCAGAAAATTCCACCATGTCGTCCTTCTTTTTTCGATAGCAGTATGACAGAGAATAGCAGTATGTATGATCAACATTACTGGTGGCATATTCCAATGCTCGCAAAACGATGCGTGTATTGTAATCGAATTTCGATCAAATCAGCAATCGATCACAAGACAACAAATCATGTAGAAAATACCTCAAATCAGAACATAATCAATCCATCGAGCAACCTTATATGTTTGTGGTGCTTGCGAAGCTACCATCGACAATGTTGGGAAAACATGTCAGATGATGCTAAACAGAGCAAATGTGACTATGGTATATTAGGGTAAGTTCAACTAGAAAGAATTAGTATCATTTTTTACTGTTTTTATGTGCATAGGAATATAATTGTTCGACCTCAGTGGCTACGACGTGTAGTTGATTCTCCTGTAGGTTTTCGTGCTGAATTAACTGATGGTCTAGATACAAATGATGTGTTACCTACGCCTGTTATTTTCTTCATAAACAAACTTGCGGGTGGTCAAAAAGGTGAAAAAATTTATCGTAAACTTGTTCGCTTAGTCAATCCTCGTCAGGTTTTTTTACTTGAAAATGATGCAACCATCATACAAGCTTTAAACATCTATTCGTCTCTGGTCAATATTCGCATATGCGCGTGTGGAGGTGATGGAACAGTTGGTTGGGTACTCAGTCGTCTTATCGATGTCTTTCCATCGTTAGAAAATCCACCAGTTAGTATTTATCCGTTAGGTACAGCCAATGATTTATCGCGCGTATTAGGATGGGGTTATCAATATGATCCCAAACGACTATTAAGAGTATTTACTCAAATTCCTCATGCACAAACGTTGTCGCTTGATTGCTGGCAGGTCAAGTTTGAAACATTGGAAATGACATCTACAGGGTCTAATCAAGAAAATACAGTTGCCGATCGACGCCGTCACTTTTTTCTTTATCATCCGAAATTTGTTCGTAACACAAATCAACTAAAGTACGAAAATCATCTTAAGCCGGTCAATAGATACTTTTTCAGTCATATCAGTTTTGGGCTAGATGCAGCTATTGCACTTGATTTTCATGTTCGTCGAACAGGTGACCCATCCAAATTTACATCTCCACTCAAAAACAAGATTCTCTATTTGAATGAAAGTCGCAAATATTTCAAAGAGTTCTTTTTTTCTGGAGCATGGAATTTGGGTTTATATATGAGATTGTTTTGTGATGGTCAAGATTTAACTGATTCGATACGATCTTGTCATACACTTGTGCTCCTAAATAGTTCAGGATATGCGTCAGGTACAAACCCTTGGATTAGAACATTGACGAATAGAAATAACACATCAGCAATCATTCAAAGAGATGACAATTCATTCAAGGAGACTTCGACAAATTCTAATATACAGATCGATACCTCCACACATACTCGTCGATTCAATAGACAGGACTGTAGTGATCGAAAGATTGAGGTACTCGAATTAAACACAACACAGATGGGTTTAATTCATCTCGGATTTAAAGGTCATCGCATCGCTCAATGTAATCAAGTACGTCTGGAACTAAGTCGTCCAATATCGGTTCAAATGGATGGTGAACCTTTCTATCTAGTTGAACCAACTACTGTCAATATTATATATGCGGGTCAAGTATCTGTATTGAGAAATGATAATAGATGACTTCAATTCGTCTTTCTTTTTTGGTTAAACATTTTCAAGACTGTAATTATAAACCAGACATTGACATATTTCTACTATTCAACAAAAAATATATTGGTTATTTGTTATAACATTTGTATATTCTTGTACAAATGAATTGATTAAACACTTTTACTAATGAAGAAAATGAATTCAAATTCGAATCGATCTTTTTAAGTGAATCTTGTTTGTTCTCTAGCATCGAACACTTGTAACCTGTAACTTTTCTATTTTGATTTTTTTTATAGAATATTCAGAGTGAGAGAAGACTATTTGATCGTTGCGCGGACAGAATTCGATGAAAGATCCAAGATTTATTACATTCTTCGTACCCTATCGCATAACGCTTACGCTATACTCCTTCGAATTTTCTGTAGTTAAAACTGTGAATATGTTTGGGTATATGTAGTGTACGTGAGTGGGTATGAATGAAAAGAAGACTCACACCGATAACTACGGCCAAGCCTTTGAGTTTTTGGCATAGGCAGTTGCTATTCATTGACTGTTCAAAGTTCGTTTCGAAAACAGCATTCACTAGACGAATTTTGTCTTTGAATTGATAATTACCGAGTCGACTAGCTCAAATGAATACTTTCTTTTTTGAAAGAAAACTTTTTCGTGGCTTCAAAAAGTCATACAGATTTTGTTTGCGCTTGAGTGAACAAGATCTTTCAACGAGAATACGAGCATAGAATGATAATTTTCATGATCAATGACTCCTTAATTAATCAAATAATGAAAGGCCTACAGTAATCAAAGAAAATGCAAGACATTTTTTAAACAAAAGGCAAATCTATTCTTCTCGAATTCAAAACATTGAAACATGTACTTACGACTTATATTAAAACATATGTAAAATACGAATGCTTTGTTTCAACATATGATATCAACCTCGAATATAGAAGGTCAAAACATTCATCCTGGCATTTGTCTAATGAACAGCAATTATTTGTTATGCTACATTTTGTTTTAAAAATGAGATCTATCTTACGATTGCTCCTTCTGTTCTGGTCATTGCTGGTTCTCAAAAAAAATTCCATCGATCCGTCTGTAATATTTACCGTAGATAGAGCATCTAATATAAACATAGTTGTGTTCAAGGAAAAAATGTCAAAAAAAATATTCTTGTGTTTTTTAGTAGTACTCTGTTTTTCATAGGACCATAGCTGCTCACATAATGAATTCCATAAAACTTTATCGAATATGACTGATGTTCTCATCGAATTTTCAAACCGTATATATACGGGCTTCGCTCTCAAAGGGTTAACGATGTTGACAATACTCAATCTATATGTATTCAACGGGCTATTATCCAAGTCAATGATAAACTTCCGAAACTAACAAATAGTCTCGATGAAAAGTTGATTATGCATTGAGTGACGTCAACAACAATAGTCGCAAAACCTTCAATGTTGTTCTCTTGGGAAATAAGAACGTTCGTCATTTGTCTGAAATTACAGCATCCTCTGATTCAAAAGTTGTTCATTGTTGAGTTCATTTGGCATTGAATGCGTTTATCAATATATGAAAATCCGCCGAAATTTCCCAGACTGTCCATGCAAATATCTTCGATGTGATGACCCTCTCTTTGCGATAGTACAACAGATTCATAATCTACATCACGTAAATGGTGTCTGAAACACGTCCTATGTTAATATTTACTCATATCATAAAAATTGAACTCTCTCTCGTTTATTTTTTGCCATATTTGAAACGATGACCCTTCGAAAGAACATTGTTCTTATCCTAAGTATATAAAATTTTTTATGAGGAACAAAAACTGATAGCATACGACTAAAAAAAAGAACATCAAGAATAGTTACTGAATTTTATGAAAATCGTAAGAAATGACTGTTCGACACGATCCATGACACAATAGTGACATCCACAATGGAAATAGAATAATTCGATTTATGTTTCATCTAATGACACTGCTGTTATCCTTCTCTTTTGCTCGCATTGTCAATATCAAAAATCAAAGTCTGAATCCGTATTGAAAGTTGGCTTTATCGTCTTCAAAATTCGATAAAATATCGGCGATCCATGAGCCTGAGTGAAGTTTGATATTGGTCGAAGGTTTGATCGATTTCTTCATGCTTTATTATTTCTATCATTACGTTGATAATTCATGTCGAATTAATGGTGATATTTATAAACTGTTTTGCTCATTTTAAAGGTCTCTGAGGATATAAAGATGATTTTGAAAAAAATATTCGTATTCATCGCCATAGTGAGCCACATATGCTCGCTTATTCAAAGCAAAAATATTCGTCACTGTTTATTTCGGAACGTATGAAAGTTAATCGAGCATTAATGTGTTTCACTCATCATTGCATTGATATATATATAATCCTACCTATGAGAATTCGAATTGAGATTTTGAGAAACATATTCAATATCGCCGTAGTCATAGATTCTTGGAAATCATTGAGTAAAATCGAAAGGCATTAAAGAGAGATCCTTGTTTCTTTTTATTGACAAGATCAGTCAAATGAAGTTGTGAAATCATTTTTTCCAGGATCGAATAGGATTGAATTGTAATTTTTTTTCTCATTTTATGAAAAAAACAAAATATCTTGTCACAGATGGGACGTAATGTTGATTGAATTTCGATGCGTGAAACTCATGTTGCACCATTCAAATATACATCTGATAAAAATTCCAAATGTTTTGATCGTTGTATTAATAAAAAACATGAATTTTCGATGCCTACAGTTGAGCAAGGAGAAAATTTTCCAGATAACTGCTATAGAAATGCATCACAATGAAAATGAACAAAAACACGCCTTAAAGCTGATGAATTCGATGGTACACAATACGTTCATAAAGAATTTTATTTAAAAAAAAGTCTACATCATCGATTAGAATATGTTGGATTTTTCATAGCACGTCGAATTCCTTCAATTTCTTTAAGAATAATATCACATTGAGGTCGATTAGCGAGTATTTTTGGTATAAGACCACCAGGATCAGCATATTGTAAATACGTGTAACGAAAACTATCTTTATTATCTATCTTCTCGATCAGATGTGCACCTTTGAATGTAGTTCGTACAAATTTACCGCTCGGATCTCTTCCTTCTGGTAAGTCGACTGATCGATAACTAAGCATAAATCCGTTGGGCAGAGTTCTTCGTACTTTAATATAACATGTATCACGAGGAGCGATTAAAATAGATGGAGATGCATATCTAATAAATTTAAATATTCATTTTATCGAATGATCCAGAGGAAATAAGCTAAAGTTTATTATCAATTTTTCTTCATATGCTATCAATCATTGGTTCTCAATTTATTTATCGAAATATACAGTATAAAATTCTCTATAACATAATACCAGGGTATTTAAGATCGGCTCGTATCACTTTCAAGTAAGTCATTTTGCAAGGTCTGAAAAAATCTTTTGGATAAAGAGTTTGAAGATATTCAAGGCAGTACGGCTATATAGATAAAAATTCAACCTTTTCAGTTTAATTTTAAATTTTTTTATTGCGCGCTACATTCATATTTCAAAGGCTCATTGAATTGTTGTTCTCAAACAGCACGTTTTTTGATAAAAAAATTCTGAACAAACGTATGAGACCACATAGAAAAAAGACAAAAAACAGTAAATTTGGCTAATGTCATCTGGGTCACACGATAACTTATCAAGTTTTGCTTTTATTTCAATAAGTCTTACTGAAAATAACAAATTTGACTTCGACCATCCTCGTTCTTGTGCAGTATTCGACCATCGATAAAAAGTTCATGCCATTCGGAATGACGTTCTTTGAGACTGCCATCGAGTAAATCATCGATATTTGCCATTGAACTATTTTCGACATGTGCGACTAATTTAATCCACCAAATGGAATCATTAGGTGGTTTATAAATATAGCACACATCGTCTTTATCTTGTACACCACGTTTATATTCTTTCCACACATTCTTATTGTTTATCAAAGTTAAATCTTCGTCCAAATAACGATCGAGTGTTATTGCATCGTATTTAGCAGCCATGTGACTTTTGCTATTCTTCGTTCCTCACTTTACCTGCACATACCACTCGTTTAAAACATCACAATCGACATAGAAAGATGTCGCTGTCAACTACACACAGATATTTGTCTAAACATTCTATACTTTTCATTGTTCTGCATATAAGAAAATTAAATGAATATCTATTGAGCCAGGGTTCAGTAAGAGTCTTCATGAAAATCGATAGGGAACAAGGAACATATTTCGAGTTCGACGAAAGAAACAACATTTTCTATGATTTATGGAAAGCTCAACCCCTAAACTAGCCTTGTTCTTGCACCGGCATACGCTTCGCACGCTTGAATGATTGTCGTCATTGGTGATATTGTTGAATCAACATCATACAAGTTGCGACAGTTACAGTTGGATAAAATTAATAGAACGAGTAGTTGAAATCGTGAGGAAGTGATACATATTAATGCTGTACATAACTGATAGCTATTCATATCATTTGAACTTACATGTCAGTAGCTTAGATATAACATTTTTTTCTATTTGCTCTGCCAATTTTTAAACTAACAAATTCATCAATGTTGATTCATTTAAAATTTTTATGTTCCTAGAATTTGAACTGAGAATATTTCCAACCATTCTAGAGAACTAAAACAATATCATCATACAATGTTTGCCTTATAGAAAAATTATCTATAAATTTGTTATTCAAACCTTGGATATGAGCATTAAGTAATATATAAAAGTATTCCATGGCAATAAAAATGTCATACGAGAACATTTACTAAATTAATGGATGCAGCGTTTATGTAAATGTTCATTTTTATTTCATGTAGATCTTCTATCGATTTTACTGAGGATAAAATCTGGCCATAAAATCTATCAAATCATAGATCACATACGAAGGAAAATAATCCTATTATACTAAAATGAAGCAATAGAGAAATTCAATGTCACCGAGCACTGAGATATAACAATTTGTGAAAACTTGATCGTAATCAGCTTACTCGAATGGTTAACCGACATATGTGCTGTTAGCTATTCTTGTTGACGGATGATTGTCGAATTGCTTTGTAAATTGACTGAACTCAGAGTGTTCTTTTCATAGATGAAAATACTGCTTTAATAGTCAATACTTGCAGACCAGCCCCCAACATTTTGAAATACGTGCATAACATTTTCTGTTGGTACTAAAATATTTTAATGGATTTTATATTTTTGTTGAAACTCGATTCTGATTGGTGCTAATCACTACAAGAACCGATGTGTCACTATTTGTTTATTCTCGAATATTTCTACTAGCATTTGAAGAGAAAATGCAAAGCATTAGTCATCCACATCCACACATTAAACTGAAGCGATTCAGATTTATGTAAACGTTGAAGAATCAACACTATCTATAGAAGATGCTCAAACAAGAAACATGGAAAATCTTTCATTAATTATGATAATATATTATTCAATGCTTTATTTGTTTCTGGTGACAAAACCAAAAATCTCTGTTTGTACTCAAATCAATCAAAAAAAGTATTTTCTCGAGATCAATTACTACGTAGAACTTGATTTAACAACAAACAGAGAAGAATTAATGGAACATCCAAGCTATTTATTTATAAAGATCTCTTGTGATTCATCGAATTAACGAAGTTAAATAGTGTCTCAAAATGAGAGAAAATGCTTTTTTAACTATTGTTCTCATCTGTCAAAATTTGTTTTTGTATCTTTTTCAATTCTAAAAGCGGTAAGATGTAAATCCAAACTGTATGTCTCTTCATTACAGACAACACAGCAATTTTCATTTAAAACTCAAAAGATTCATATGGATGATTTTTATCATTAGTATGATTAGGGCTGATGTAAGGTAGTTCTATCAATAGCCATATCAGATGAGAACGGTCAAACGATAACATCACTATCTCTAGCTAAGATATAAATGGTGAACTAGAAAGAATATATTTCTTTTCATACATGGGTTGCTGCCATTCTTATCAAATTAAGAACATTAAGCGAGAGATCAGCACAAAACACCTATTTCTCATTTTTGTTTTTCATATCTCAGTGAGCTTCAATATCTACATGTCTTAATATTACTAGCACTCAACTATATATTTCTCCATTCTCTGGTTGTTTCTTTCGATAAACAAGTCGTTGATAGACAAAATTTCATTTTGATAGTTACAACTATGCATACACTCAAATGCAAAAGCATATTGTGAATATTTTGAATTTATCTCATATATCAGTGAAACAATAAGAGATTGAAAGAAAACTAGAAAACGATCCAAACCCAAACTCATTGAGTTTGGATACTTTTGGTTGACTTTAGCATGTGATCTAACAACATCGCTGAAATCCTTCTTTTGACATTCTATAGTACCGTTCCTCGACTTCAATTTTCTATCGACAGAAGAATATTGTGTCGCGTGATTTAGTAGATAAAGGCAATTTTCTTTATTTAGGCAAAAACTACTCAAACAGTTTGGGTGCATGCCTAGTTATAACAATCTAAGTGAAGATGAACAACTATATTTGGTGTGCTCTTTAAAAAAATCTTCTATTCTCTATTGAATCTTGATCAAGGTTATTGACTTTCGATGTTACTTGTGCATCGTTTCATATACGTAAAAATCTGCGCCAGATGTCAACGAGGCAACTTTGAAATGATCATGAATTGATGAGTTCGGACATAGGAATGCCCTTTCCATGCTGAAAAACCAATCAATACTGCATATTATAATACATTATCTGACTGAAATAATCTTTGGGCTTTTGTTTCAAACTTTTATTCTTTGTCTATTTGTTCATATTTCAACAGGTTATTTTGATAATGTTACACAAAACACTGAGCGACAGTTGGACTTATCATTCAGTTCATGAGGTAAGAGAACATATTCTTTGTTTTCATCAGATTTATCTTTTCTAATTGATCGAGCTGATGGTGTGAAGTCACAGTTAATAGAAAACTAATATTGTGACTATTGTGTGTATTAACATTTTTTGCCTTTATTTCTCTCAACAGTGAATGAGCGCGTCAATGCGATGCATGATGTCATTCGTTATTTTATTGACGTGCTCTGATGATGCTAACAATAGCGGGATTGTTGATGAGGCAGCAATCTAAAAATGTTTTAGCATTCAGAATATCGAAGGAGTTCATTGCAGCGAACTTTGCTTGGGACCACCGGAGAGTGTTCAGTATGCCAGGTTGATCAATGAGAAAGTTTATTTTATCATCTATTGATTTTCTTTCGCTTCATTCAATTTCATTCATCAATAATCACCGATGTTTGTGAATAACTGGACTTTCTGAAAATTCTTGCCAAGTCACATCAATTATATCAACTAATCTGTTATGGAACCAGTATTAAACAATGAATCTTTGATATTGAATTGATTCTATCCGAGTGCTCGACCAACTAACATCAGTAAATTTCTATGTGAAAAGTTAATGAAAGTCTTCAAAGAATTTTCAGAAGCATTTCCTTAACATCTAGTTAAAAATCAAATGGAAAATTACTTTTTCCAATTTAATGGCATTCAGATGACAATATTTAATTTTCATCATGTTCGTTATTTGATGAATAATGATAACAGAATGTCTATTCCTAAAATACTTTGATACACAATACATCTTCAAATGAAATTTATATTTTGATTTAGTAGACTATTCTCTTCGCTTAGTTCAAAGCTTTCGTTTTAATGAATTAGTGTTTATAGTGCATACGTGTGAGGAAAAACTATCGAAGGAAGTAATAATGTTTGTAATTAGTTCATGTTCGCGATCATTGTTCCACGATTCTTCGTTTAATCGTGGGTGACTTCATCGAGCACGACAACCAAGCTGAGAAGAAATGGTGCATCTTCACCTCGTTCAATTTTGACGCCGTACTTGTCATGAAAAGAGAAGAACTTTTTTGAAACTGTTGCAACCAATTTACCATCTTTTTTTATTTTGAAATCTTGCGCTCGGAAGTTTCCTGAAACCTTGAACGTGCCAAGTTTGGATGTCACCTTGAATTTGGTGCCAAGTCCAGTCCATTTCACTTTACGCCTAGAATAAAGAAAAAATTATAGAAATAACACAGCATGGAATATTTTCGCTCATATTTATTAATAATGCAGCATAATTGTTCAATTAAATTACAGTTTGCTCGGATATGTTGCCTACGGATAGATGTAGTTATCTCTATATTTGATTGAACAGTTTTAAGACGATTGAATATATTATTTTCATTTGAAGTTCGTTATTCTATACTATTAGCTGACATAAATGAGCAAGAAGGGGTCTTATAGTCATCCTGATATGCTTGAACATGTATGAGAGGTTACTGGAACCGGGTCCTTTCTTGCGCATTTCAATTTATAATGTAAAAGTTTTATTATTGAAAATATGGACCACGACTCAAAATTTCTGCATTTAAAGGAGATATAAAAATTGAATTATCAATTCTGATACAATAAAAAGGAGCAACGAAATGTCGGATATTCAAACACAAGCACACAGTTTGTTTAGCCAAACTATCAACAAAGAGCCTAATCAAACATCTTCGTTTACGTTTTTCTGCATTTTTCTCATTAATTTCAAAATATAGTTGTTACAGTCTCCGCCTTTCACATATGAATGCTTTTGTTTTGTTATAGCAGATATTTTTTCTACTGTTCTATCTTTCTTGTTTTCTCTTTAATATATTAATATCATGTATTTTGTTATTATATATTCATCAAGAATGCAATATAAACGCATAGAATTACAACTAGATACCGAAATAGATAATTAGTCGTTACTTGAACATTATGAAACTTCATCTTTAACGTAATCCAAGTTATTCAAATACTTAAGAACATTAATATGAAGATTCATTAAACTAAATGATGAATGTTCATGTACGAGACGAATCGCATCAGGTAAGTCATTTTCATTATTTAGATTCAAATCTAGCACTGACATGATATATTATTCGGCGCATTTTATTTTTCTATTGCTGAAACTTTTGATTTTTTTTCCTTTTTTGCTCTCTAGAGCTTCATAGGTTATTTTTATGTATTTTTTCTTGCTTCTTTTTCTCATATATGTGTAGACACACATCTTATTTTAGACGAAGAGATTCAACTGTTTCAGTCTCCGTCTTTCACATATAATGTCTTTCGTTCTGCTATAGTACATATTCTTTTCTGTCGTTCTATCTTTTCTTTTTTCCTTTACTGTATTGATATTACTTATTTTGTTATTACATTCTTTATTCTTGTGACATCATTTTATCTAGACGTCCGCCACTCCTTCAGATATATACTTTTTTCTCTGCTTATATTAGAGCGGTCTTACGTCGTATTATTCATCTCGCATATTTCTCTCTTATCTCTCCCTTTTTCTGGTTAAACACTTTCCTCGATAAGTTAGTACATGAAGATTTTCAAAAAAGTATATTCTTCTTCACAAATCACTAATACAACTCCTATTCTAATAATGGATTAGAATAGAATGAAATTGCTTAAATCAACATAATCTATATTAGTGTATTTCATATTTTGTTCTATCTTTCGTGGTCTATAATCAGCGGTCTTGGTTCTACCTGGGGAGAAGAGATCGACCAACTCGGCCTTTCAAAATTAAGACTGCAGCTTTTCCTAGAAAATGTGCTCAGATTCAATCCTGAATAAACCAGATTATTAAGATGGCAAAGTGTGGTGAATAAAGGCTAAACGTTGGTTTTTACTAAATTTTGAAAAGAAACTGACTTCACATCAGCGACGAGTTGATTGTTTTGACGAATTTCATATTTGGCGAGACCAAGTGGATTAAGAACGTGTTTGACTACAAATAGAAGACATTGCAAATATGATCATTAAAGAAATGTGAAAAATAGTTTCTTACTTACTCGAATAATATTCTTTTCCTGAATTAATATCCGTCAGCTGCAAATGTTTGCCCAGACCAAATGTTTTGAATCCGACCTATTGTGAACATGTAAAGAACAACACTAAGCATAGTCACCAGAAAAGTAAATAAAAAGAAACCTTATAGACGGGTGCGCCTCTGTTGTCTTTGATTACGTATGACGAAGTACCCAATGTAAGCATCTTTTGTTTCATCTCAAACACGGTGGGTGATTGAAGTTTTGGCGAAAATAGAAAGCCGGCCACGAAAACCAAAACATTTCCCAATAAGAATAGTTGAAGGAAAACGCGAGTCATCATCTTGCTAGAATGATACGAGCTCTTTGCTTCTATATATATATCGACTGAGTGTGGAAATGTTCGAGACTATCGTACTATTTTTTTTCTTTCTTTTTTCTTACTTATACTTATCTTCTTGTAACGTTGTCCGCAAATATCTTGGCTTGTTTGTTCTTCTTCTTTCTCTTCCTTGTAATTACCACATACAACAGTAGTAAAAAGAAAAAATATTATCATATCAAGAATAGAACAGATAAGACCTAGTTAGAATCAAGCATACACATAACAACTGTACTTCGACAATGCCAATGAACTCGCATTTTCAATGGGTTCGAGGCTATGGAACCGGATCAAGGATGCGTTCGCCAGTGCATGAAGATATGAATAATGTATTTCATAACTCACATATCATAGAATCATTGTTGAAGCTCTATAGGGCAGTAACTACAACGGACAGTCATCTTCAAGAGTTCATTAGAAAGATGCAGTACATGAGTCTAACGAATGATCTATTTTCTACTAAAGTTTTACGTTCTTATTATACGAAATGCTAAAGATTCAGTGAGACCTTGCTAACTTCATCTTTTTACAAGTCCAAATAGTATATATTTTATATTAAATTTGTAGAGAAAATCAATAAAACACTATTGAAAGGATATGAATGAAAGCTGAATCTGTGAGAAGCATAACAGGACCCAGTAGAAAAAGTTTTTGTAACCTTTTTATTATCCACAGTAGTTACCTAGAGTATGAAGAAAAACATCTTCGAAACCATCAACCAAAACAATAAAGACTAGATGCCAAAAAATACTTAGATGTTAAAACTGCACTTGTAGTTTCCAAAAGCATAACAAGTTAGCAACAACTTCCTAATTTCACTCTTCTCAGACGAAACCTTGAATTGATATGTTAGTTCAACTTTTTCAAATTCGACTATAAATATCAGGGTTGTATTTTAAAAAAAATTGTTTTTGTTCCCGTCGAGTAATTGAACTCGAAAATTCATAAAGAACCGTAGAATTGTGCATGATCTGCAATACATAATGTTAAGCAGTTCTCTTCGAACAGTTCAACAAGTCTGATCATTATTAACCTGGTCATTAAGCTTGAATATGACTTCATCGGATCACATGACATGATTATAGTAAGATTAAGTTCCTCCTCGAGAAACCAGAGAAAAGTCTCATCGAATTCAACACACCGATTATAAACATCTTCATTCAGTTCGTCAACTAATCTAAACACGCAGAATTGATATCTGAGGCTTTGTTATCAAAATAGAGGATACTCTCTCTGTTGTACTTTGACCCATCACTGAGACTGATCTGCCAGATTGAAGCAAGGTGAGTATAGAATCAGTCTACTCAAGTTTGTTCATCACAGCATTTAGCATTGGTTGACTCGGAGACTCGGTGTTCATTTATTTTCGCCAAAGTCGATGTACTCGAAAATAATATTTAAGCCGACGCATGTGCAACAATAAATCAAGAATTATTTTTTACGAATACACAGAAGAAACTATTGAGAAAAACAAACATTAATTATTGTTCATACTTTAAAAGATTATATGTCTATTCCAACAAGACTAAGATCTGGTACTAATGAAAGAGACTTTTAGAATACTATACTGCAGTTTAAACAATACTCTAATTTGATATTAATAAGAAAATCCTGCAAATAAGAACAACTGAAATATTTACTGGAGTCAGACTCACATTGAGTCAAACAAAGATTTCACTTGACTGAGTTTTTAAATAGCATGTTTCAATATTATCTATGCATCAGTTCAAAATAAATCCTACCAGTGAAACTAATTTCAAAGAAGAACACATTAGAAAAAGACCATAAGAAAAGTATTTGATAATTCAATATGAGCAATTTGTGACCTTAGAACGCAATCAACAAGATGTTATAAGGATTTATTATTCTACATTTATTATTTTTATTGAAAGACTTGGATCTATCTTTTGCAGCATATAACATATATTAGCTGCACTAGAAGAGAACCACAATCTGGAGTATGCATTCTGTATCCTGAGATAGGGTTTTCATTATAATCTTGCCTTCATTTTTATATGCTTTATTTATCTTTATTCTTAGTCTTGTGATATGTGCCAAAATGAAAATCAAAACTCAAAGTAAAGATGAAAAACATCCAGGAATAAATAATATTATGACAACTATTCTAATTATACGGCTACACACTGTTTAAATCAAAGAATCATATTCTAGAGATCTCTGTGATTAGTTACAAGTCTTAATCTTGTCAAAATAGATCTATCCTCATTTAAAATATGAACAAAAAGTAATGTATGTTTTTCTGAATAATTTCTTCTGTATATTCGTAAAAAAATCATATAAATATTTTTATCATGGAAAATTAACTATAATTTTATATGTTGTTTTTAATATCATCAATAAACTTATATTTGTTTGATATTTCGTTCAATTGAAGGAATTGCATCGGTCACTATAACATCGATATGGCTTATGTATGTATTAGAACAATAGAGAGAATGAAAATCTTTTCGAAAGTTCCTGAAGGATAATACATCAAAAGAACAGAGAAGAAAGACATGAAGATGTCTTTGTAAGTCATGATATGAATCTAAAATTTCGAAGCATATATCATTTGAAACCTCTATAAAAAGTCATATGAATCTTCATGGTTTTATTAATGAGGCACTAGTGAGTTATTTATTATATGTTAAGGAATTGTCAATTAAATATTAATCAAATAGTAATTATATAGGAATTAACTAATAATTAGAAGTATCTACCACGACCTGGAGGGAGTAGCCCTAAAGTTGTATCATTCATATTTCAACACTCCTTTTAGATGATGTTTCACAAAACGAGCACCAGCAACGATAATCATTTTGCAAGCCAATATAACTCTTTCTTTCACTTCATTATACTTAAGAAAAGACATATCTATATTGGTGGTCAGCGAGAAAATGCAATGAAGCATCGCAGAACAAAACAAATAATCGAATAAATGCGTCGCAGTACGAATGTATGCACACATGGGTTTTTATATGAACACCTTCAGCACCGTAAAAGATGGAAATTCATTATTCAGGCCAATATTTATTAATGTTTTCTTATGAAAAAAGAAGCGCTGGAGGCTTCTCTATCACGGAAATAAATTAAGTTCATAGAATGGAAATATTCAAAATTTTCATCGTTGCGCTAATTGTGGACTGGCGTGTATTACTAAAATTTCCGTAATTTCGATAACTGTGAATAAAAGACAACTTTATAGATTTTGAGAGATGTCTATAATTTCAGAAATTTTAGGCTTGCCGATGAATTCTATTCGAGTGACTTCATTTAGAGAAGAAGAACTTTGTAATAAGTCAATGATGAAACGCGTTGTTTTCTTTTTTTCATTTTGTTACCGGAAGTTCATCTTTTCCATTTCATCTGCAGAGATTTTTTCATGAATAGAGTCATCCATGTTAGGTATTTTTACTTAGCTAAATCATTGGAAGCTACATCATTCGTACGAATAAAACTCTCAGACACTCTGATGATGAGCAAGGTGAAGATTATTTCCTATGTACAACTAATGAAAAAGGAGTGCTCTGGAAAATTATTCGAACTGATTGATGACAAGAACAATCCTTTATTTCATCTTGAGAATTTACACATAACGCATAAATAAAAGTTAAGAGAGCATTAATATGAAAATTCATTGTTCGCGTTGTGCATTCTTTCATGGTTAGATTTTTGTAAAATTCATTTTGGATTCGAGGATGTGTGTGTGAGTCTCAAATGTAGGTTCGAGTGGGGATCTCTCTTTAACACCAGAGTTACACTCATATCTACATTCCATCTATTTTTTGTTACAATAATTTGTTTTATTTAGTGATTCAATTTGAAGAGGTTTTATCGATTTCAATATATATGTACAAAAATTCAGACCGAGTCCCAAGGTGGAAACTTTCTTTTATACTTATAGTATTATTTCTTGTTTATCTGAATACATCTGCACGCCTATATATTTATCGAAGTGTACACCCGTTTCTTTTTACTCATAGAAAAAGTCAACGACAATAGGTAAATACAACTGGCGTGCACTACAAATTATCGAAATCTTGTATTCGTATTCTTTTAGTTATGCTTACTCGGTCAATAAAGAACAATATTTACATTATTGCTACTGTTGTATATATATATATACAAACTATCATATGATCGAACAAGCGTAAAAAGAATCGCAATTTCACTGTGATTGGATACTTCTTTGATGTTTTTCCTGTGCACATTGATTCATATGAAATAAAAGAGAAGGCCATACCTGACAATTATAAATTGCACATGTCATATGCTAGCCTTATTCGTTCTGTATTTTTTTGTATCAATGAGACCTATTTTTTTCCCTTCTTTCGAGGAGAGTGTCGTCTCGCTTGTATACATTATTTAGTTACAACGTAAACAACTGCAAAATTGGGATGCATTTACATAGTCGAAATCGAAACAACATCAAGAAAGCCCACACAATGATAATAATTATACAATCAAGCTTATTGTTAATATTCGTATTTTTCTACATATAGTGTTTATTTTTTACGCTGATGATGGCTACAAAAAACTTTCAAACTTGCGTGCCAATTAAATGAACAAGCAATTCTAACCAGAGAAAGTAAATTATTAATCATGGACAATTTGCATGACCATCGTGTCATTCTTTGATTTCATTTGTTTTTTGTTAAATAATTGCTATATCTTACAACTAATTTAGACAAAACGCTTTCTCATGATCATCTTATAGCTCTGCAAACGTCTTAATAGAGCATCATCTGTCTATTGCGACTCCTTCGACTTAAAATTTTTCGTAGACTGAAAAGTGATACCATGCGGTTGTATAGAGCATCATCTACTCATTATTTTGAAAACTTTTCATAGCTAGTACATCAATGTACACAGGAAAAACATAAAGAGCCGTATATGCGGGGAGCAGTCATACTAAGTTTTCATCATCGAATATTCATTAGAGCATGCCTTTTAATACAGTTTTGCGTAGTCTTTCTAATTACCTGTCAAGCGTTGAGATTGCCTAAATGTTATTGGAAAAAAGAGCTCTTTGTAGAGTTCTTTTTTTCAGGAATTCTGATATGAATCACAAAAACCGTTGCTTTCTAACATAAATCTGCAAAAGGAAATAAATTTTCATTCTAATCGACGCGTAAAATGTCCCAAAAACCTCAATTATCGGATAGTCTTCAAAGAATGAAAAAATAACATACTTTGATTATATTGCCAATTAATACCGTACCGTATAGATTTTATAAATTGACATAAAAAATTTCTATGAGGATACTAGAGATTATGAGTCTTAATATGACGAATACTAGATCATTCGAGATCATCGAGATTTTGATATACATACAAGTAAAACAAAAATTCTGCTCGCTTCTCGAATTATATAGGTAGCCATTGAACGTCGCTTAAAATAGCATAGAAATTCAACTTGTCATACCTAACTTGATTTGTCTTCTGAAGAATACTCTAACTGTGCTCTTCATTTCAGAAGTAATTGACAAATGAAAGGAATTTATGGATGATTTTCAGCAGTCCCTGTGATTGTCCGTCGCCATAAGCAAAGACAATATGGTATTGCTTCTCATATGTTTGACTTATCGTATAGAGTAGTGAGAAAACAATGCTTTCAGAGGCAATGAATTATCCTCGATCAAATAACTAGCTAGTTACTAAATGAATTCTAATGAAATAAAATTTGAATGAGTGGTTTTTTTTTCGAATTACAATTCAGTGCTACCTGATTATACCGCACTAAATTGATCGCGTGGAAAACCTTAATTTTTAGATTTTAAGACAGAGTCGTCTTTTCCTAGTCTATTATTTATCTTGGTCTGAGTCACGAAAACAAACATGGTGAAAGAAGTTGAAGATCCTGATGTACGTCTTCTTCGAGAGATGGGTTATACTCAAGAGCTCTACCGTGGTTTTTCTCCATTTATGTCATTTGCTTTCTGTTTTACTGCTGTCAATGTTCTCACATCAATTTCAATCGGTTTCACGTATTCATTGAATACTGGTGGATCAGGAGTAACCATATGGGCATGGGTTATTGGAGCTATATTTACCATTCTGATCGGTCTATCGTTAGCTGAAATATGTTCTGTATATCCCAGTGCTGGATCTGTATATCATTGGTATATTATTGAGAGATACACGGCAGTCAACTGACAGTAGAAATACGTTTTTCTTCTCTTGTAGGGCAGGCCAGCTGGTTTCCGCTAAACATGCACCATTGGCTTCGTTCATTTGTGGTTGGTTCAATTTCATAGGAAATTTTGCAGGTAAGAAAACAAACAAATACTTAATTGATTTGTAATTTTAAATATTTTGCAGGAGATGTTGCATTTGCGTCTGGATTTGCTACGATTATTAATGCTGCCATCATTCTGGAAGGCAAAGATTCAATTAACACAGGTGCTCAAGTAGGCATTGCTATAGGAATATGTTTTGTATGGGCTGTTCAAAATGCATTGCGAATTGATCAACAAGGCTGGCTCAATAATTTTGCTGTTATCTTCCAACTTGGCTCGGCAATTAGCATCGTTGTAGTGCTTCTGACTATGGCTCCTGAGAGAGCTACGGCTCGCAATGTTTTCACATCAACATACAATGGTACCGGATTTTCATTTCCATATGTATGCTTGATTGGCATTCTTTCAACACTTTTTTCATTCTCTGGCTATGAAGGTAAATATTATGAATTTAAATATGTTTTTATTATTTCTAAGTTTTCAAGCTGGTGCCCATTTGGCCGAAGAAACTAGAGGTGCCAGCCGCGCAGGTAAGTAAATATTCGAAAGATAATGAACTTTCAAAAAGGTTTGTTAAGAAAAATGATTGATTCTTCTTGTTTTCAAGCTCCAAAAGGAATCGTAAGCACTTGTATATGTAGCGCTATTACTGGTTTTGCTTACTTGCTTGCTCTACTCTTTGCCATTCCCGACGTGAGCTCGTTTGTGGACAATAACAGTGGAGATAATTCAACGCAAAATTTTGCCGTTGCTGCCTATCAGCTTGCTGTACCCCATCAAGGCGCACTTGCACTGGCGATTCTGCTCATTCTTAATTTGTATTTTGCCGGTATGTCATCATTGACAGTGACCAGTCGAATAGGGTATGTATTAGTTATTAGAATGTTTTTTTTCTTCTTTTTAGTCGATAATATGTCACTCATTTTAGCTTTGCCATGGCTCGTGATGGTGTTTTTCCACTATCAGTCTATCTACGTTGGATATTCAAGCCGACAAAAACTCCATTGGGCAATGTGATATTTGTTTTTGTCATTGACTCTCTTCTTCTTCTACTTCAATTAGCATCGACGACTGCTTTCACTGCTATTCTCTCCATTGCCACACTTGGCTATCAAATATCCTATTTTATGCCTATTTTATTCCGATGTACAACAGCTCGACACAATTTTCCACTAGGTGATTTCAATTTAGGTAGATTCGGTGTACCCATCGCTATTATCTCGGCCGCTTGGCTTTTTATTACATCCATCATCATGTTATTTCCGGCCCAATATCCGGTCACTAAAGATAATATGAACTATGCTGTAGTAATCATCGGTGGCATAGCATTCCTTGCGGGTGCCTATTGGATTTTCTCTGCTCGCTATTGGTTTGTAGGGCCAAAAAGAACTACTATGAATTCTAATGAATTATCAGCGGACCTGGCTACCACCGATGACACCAAAGAAATAACACTATCACCCAGTATCATTCATGTTCGATTGTGAGCTTCAGTGCGCTTTCTATGTATTTTCATCAGTTATTGTGAAAAATGCACGTTCTTATAAATGGCACACTATAAAAAGACAATTGATATACAACTTTTTTGATAAAATATGACAAAAGCGTTTCACTGTTTTTCTTGAGCTGTTGTTTAACACTTCTTGAATAAAAACAAAGGCATGACAAAACACGAATATTTTTGGAGAGGCACATCGAGACATGTCGTCTTTTTATCGGAATTTTTTTGTATTCATCTACTATCTATAGTTTGCTTATTTTGGAAAAAGGTTTCAGTCAGTATTGACGAACTAATGTCTTGATCAGTCATTCACATATTTATAACTGAAACATTAATGGAATGTATATGTCAAACAACTTATTCGATTGATTGCAATAAATGTAACGAAATTTTGCTGATTCGTCGATTCATCATCGATAACTCAATTGTCACTTCAAATGACGAATAATTATCAAGGATTTCATCGTCAGGGCGTTTCACTTAGTTAACTTGGACACTTCCAAAGACGGTTATTACTGTCAAAGAACGAAGTCTATGTTCACTTTTTGTTTGTCAGACCAATTCTAATCAATTCTTAATTCGACTATTGTTTATAGATATAGATCTAATGTGACCGACTGATCGGCTGCTGTCGCCAACTTATGGTGAAAACTTTGTAGGAGTCTTCATCAGAGTTTAGAAGTAAATTTTTACTGTGAAACTTTTCATTCTCAATTGTCGCTTTTGTAGACAGATTTTGTCTGCAGTACTATACAATGAATGACTATTTCCTACGTAATCACTTCATTCAAATCTCTATCGATTTTCTAACATAATAAACCGAGCTGCATGATATGGAAGCGATATTGGATGAAACAATTGTTACAACTCATCTGTAGCGGTGATTATTGTTGTTGTTCAACCAACACAATCCGTATTTTCGTAGTATCAATTGTCAAGAAATCTATGATGAATTAATGAAGGAACACAAGGTTTGCGTTCAATATACACCGATTATGCAAACAGCATTCTAAGATATACCGTACACTATTTATTGGCATTGTCGTATAAAACATACAGAGATAATTGAAAGAAATATGATGAGGTGGTTATGGAATGTGGGCATTGATGTTCTCTTCTCTCATACACACCCTTACCCGCATCTGTCTTGCGAAAGTTAATAATGTTCAGCTCCATTTCTCTCATTGAGTGAATAGTACCACTCCGGATAGCAGCTACCAAAGTGATTCAATTTTATAGATCGATAACTAACATTCAATATTTGGTTCAGTAACATTGACTACGACGATGGAGAAAATATTGGCAAAAACAAACAGATATTCTTCTATAATGAAAAACTGTACTTTGAGTACTAAAAAAACTTCAAAAATTCCAATCTAAAGAGTTTTGATTGACGATACATATTTGTTTAACAGGATATAGCACTGCATGGTTAGATAAAAGATGTACTAACTAATTAGTAAATTAACGAAAGAAAGAGATGTCATATAAAGTGTCTACCCATAAAACGCAAAATGGCATAAGTATTGTTTTATGGCTGGCATCTCTCTACTGTTAGCAGAGAAAAATTGCGAAACACTATTTTAATGTAAAGAAAATTGCGCTGCAATGTTGTTCTAATTTTTTTGTTTAGTAAGAAAGAGAAGATGAGAAAATCACTATTTTGTTTATTGAATATCGCCAAAATGCAAGTGTTTCGGTCATCAACAATAGCGATAACAACGAAAGCAATATACAATATGAATATGACAGAGAAGCAAAGCTCACTCATTCGTTCTTATTCAGGTTGAAATTTTTTTTTCTTCAGCGCTTTCAATTAAAATCGAATAAACTATTGTATACACTTTACATGGTATTCTATGGACCATTGTATATGAGACCGTATTTGGTTTTCAGATTGAAGAAGAATGCCGCAAGTTCTCAAGTATGGATTCCACTAATCATAATTATGAAATTGATCAATCCTTTTCATTCGACGACTGCCATACTGTTACGAAGAAAATCACTTGAATGCTTTTTATGCAACGTCAACATTGCCGTAGCAACAATGTTTTTCTTTTGAAGAACAGTGGAAGTTTTTTTTTGTTGTACAGCATTCGATATGAACTCACTATGCAACGCACACACATGTCAAATCAGCAGCAATGCATTGCGTTTTCATTACGCATTGAATTTTTTTTTGTCGTGTTCTGTTTCAAATAGTAATACTCACAAACATCACACATTACAGTATATCATTTTATAGCCATTCCTTGTAAACTATGTTGTATTTTTTAGTCGATACGTGCATATTTGAACCATATTTTCATATGTTCTTGTGTTAATGTGTTGGTGAGTATCTCAAAAAGTCAACCAAAACATGTTTACTTTCGAAGACATGCCACTTGTTTTGGGAACACTAACAACGCAATAAATGTTTTTTGTATCTGCTTTGCAACATTGCCGACCCGATATTTGATCCAGATTGTTTTCTGGATATAGCATTTAACTGATATAAAGTTTTTGACTGTCGAAAAGATTATATTAAATGCTGACTCTGATAAACATTCGAACCATCTAAAGGGCTGTCTTCACCAACAAAAGACCGAACAATATTGAGAGTTTGGCTGATTTTAGATTCTGTGTTCTCTGAGCTTCTGTTGTTCAAAGACTTATTACAAGAAGAAATGGCAAAGAGCAGAGATAGGTAAATAGCTACGACGTAACTAAGGCATATCGTCCAATGACGATCGCAACTAATAATATAGTAAGAATTTCGACGCATAAGCTCCAAATATTGATGAAAAATCGAGAACAAAGCAGAAACTACAACAAACGAGAAACGTAATTGAGCGAAAGAAGAAAAATAGAAGATATGCTCGCGAGAACGACCTCTACAGTTGAAATCACCAACTTGAAACTAGTAGCTCTGGTGCCAGGGACGTAGAGGAGCAATGTTTCTACAAAATCATATTAGGATATCCTCAAAGTGCAATCAGTAGTATATAAAAGTGCGCTAAAATCGTGCCCTGGTGACTAAGAACCGTACACAAGAATTCAAGGATCGATCATTTTAAATAGATGACTGCACGAAATATTATTATATTATATCAATCAATATGCGATGCTTGTGTTTAAGCCATTCCAAACAAGCTATGTATAATCTAACTTCAGGGAAGCTGCTCAATCAAAGATCTTATATTCGATGACATATATAAATACGTATGTACATTATAGGGGTAAGAGTTTGATTAATATGCACGTAAGCTGATCAAAGGTTATCTCACCCTTTCGAATGATGTTTGAAAGAATGATAGGGAGAGTAAGGATGAAGATAAGAACCTCAAACTATTCTACGCTCAAATCGGAGAATAGAATATGTTTCACATTTTTAACAAAAAGAGTATTATGGCACTTTTGACCAGTGTTTCCTTAATCGCCTCGATTTTGATTACGCATTTATCATAACCACTATTCGTCTAAATGCGCTTTTACAGCGTTCAGAATGACGAATGCAACAAGTAAATGTAGGAGGCGCGGTTCACTCATAATTTGGATTTTGTGTTTTTGCTGAGAAAACGCGGAATAGATGGATGTAAATCATAGATTTGCACTGCTCCAAAATTGCATTTAAAATACTGAATTTTCCTTATAACTGTAAGATTTGAGTATCAGGCATACATAATTACAGTACACAATCATAATGTATATCCGTTAATAAATAGCTAAGTCAACATACATTAGCCATATCACATCTATATGAAAACTTTTATATACCGTAGAGTTTTATGCGCCTTCAGAGTCACTTTGACAAAACAACGAGCATTTAACAAATATTATCCTGCATTATATTAGTTTTGTTCTTTTAATGAAAACTTCCGTGCAGTTTTAAAATTAAAAAGCATCATTTATATGTTCGTGGCAAAACTGTTTCGACGTGTCAAGATTTCCATTCGATAATAGTTTAGAATAGATAGAGTCTATGCTGATAATGCAACTCATTTTGAGATTTTCCTCCGGTTTACCACTGGAATGCCAAAAACAAATTTGTGTGTTTTGTTATATCCCAATGCTAGTAATAGTTAGGTTGATAGATCCACTCTCTGAACAGACTATTAGATTCTTTACAACATCAAGCCAAAATCGAAGTTTTTGAACACACTGACATCCTCTTGCAGAAATTTCCAGGAAAGAGTTTTTTAAATAGATGCTAGCCGATATTTACTATCCCTTTGAAGTTTATTCATTTGCACGAACTTTTTTCTGGGCATGTGTAAGAATGTGATCGTGCTGCAGTAAAAATTTCAAATTAAAAGGATGTATTTTTTTGTTGAAATAAAGAAATTGAGAAAATGACATTAAAATCGCTATTTTATATGTCGAAACTTCTAAGAATAAAATAAGTATGTTCGTAAAAACGCAAGGTTTTTGATTGGTTTGCGTGGATATTCATCAAATTATTCTCCCTATAATAATAATATACATAAAAGTCATCGATTGAGCAGAGTAACTCATGACTTACTTGAAAATTGTAGTTACGAATAGCAGACAATTGGATCGTCCAGTGTGTACATTTAGTGTTATAATCCTCTGCAGAATATTTGCAATTTAAGGTAAATACAATCAGTATTTGATAAACACTACTTATTAATAAGCATATAGAAGAACAAAACGCTTAGGAATCGAGGAGTGACTGTAAATGTTCAAATTTGCGCTTGAATATTAACAAATGAGATGTTTTTTTGTTCATTCAAGCTGCTCACCTCAATTAATATTTATTATTTCTCGACTAGGACAAGAACATTATAAGAAAAACGACAGCTAAAAGCTGACGAATAACAACATGAGAGCACGTCGAAAATATATCTTCAGAATATTTAAAATGATTTGTCTCACTAGTTTAATATTTATTATCGTCCGTCTTGTTAACGAACTTATTTATGAATATCTTATGAGTAAGCCTCCATATCCCTCAGTAGCCTTTTGGCAAGATAATCGAACATATCAAACAGGACGATCACGTCCTGTACCAATAACAACAATTGACAAAGTCAATCTAACAAATTTTACATTAGTTATAACAGCTTGTTGTCGAAATGTCGAAAAACATCTTGTTGGTTTTCAAAAAAATGTACGTGCTATTGGTGCTTTATTTCGATATTATCGTCTCTATTTGGCGGAATCAGATTCAGACGATGGTACATTGAAATTTATCCAAGAATGGGAGAAAAATGATTCTGATCATGTTAGTGTTCATTCTGCAGGACGACAACGATGGCGCCAATTTTTTCGTAAGTAAAGTCTTCAAGAAGGAAAACAAGTTCGCACAGACGGATAGAGTATATCGGTATATCTCTGGCACATTAATTCTTAAAAACGTAGTAAATTGTTCATAGGAAGAAAAGTTGAGAGCACTATTGAACAGAACTTCTTTGCGAAATCAAACAGTTTCGAATGTGACGAATTTTAGATTTATTAGCTATAACATAGGATCAAGTTTTTATTGTTGAATCTTTTGAACAATGAAACTAATTTGCTTTTTTCTGACAGGTACTGTAATGCAGACTTTAGGAGCTTTTACAAAAGTTGGATCAAACAAAAATATTGCGGTTTTTCATACTGGCTTTCTGATGTTTTTACTCTAGTCTAATAAGATGTCAATATTGTTCATCGAAAAACTGCACCTCGATTCTGACCGGTTGGGTACATAAGTTTAACAAAATCGGCTGTAGTAAGAATGAAAAACTTCAAGCCATTATTAACTCTTTCGCCTTGTTTCTCTTCTGAAAGAAACTATCTCTAGGTTTTAAGTCTAGTAGAATTTTCGGTTTGCTTGCTCTTAAGATAGCATTACAAGAGTAGTCCTGTTCATGATCAGCCTATCTTACGAGCGCTATCTTCACTTCTCCGAAGTTTCTCAAGAATGGCTCATTAAGAATGCTACTGACTGCCATCCTTTTCTCAATTGAAAATACTCTTTCACATCACCATTTTTATACCAGATAACAGGAAACAAATATTCTGAACTATTGAAACTCAGATGAAACTATAAATCATTTAATCTTCCAATGATTTTTCTCCGACATTTTTTTACAGTCGTACGTAAAGCTTTCCTTCCCGAGGAGTTTGTTAAATTTATCAGAGGTAACTCGACGAACGTAATCTAGTCATGCAAGAAATTGCAGAATTTTCTCGTTGTAGTTTTCCAATACAGGCACTTCATAATTAGATTGAATAAAAAAAGATTGGTTTCTAAACTAATTTTTCGTAGGCACTGTACGTCTTGCTCATTGTCGGAATTATCTTTTTCAACGTGCTCTTACTGAAATGCCATGGTTCGATTATTACTTTGTGCTTGATGTTGATGTAACATCATCGGAGACATTTAGCGTCAACAATTTTCTTACGAATTTTATTTATCCCCTATCGTCATGGGCAGTTATGACGGCTTCACAAATAAATTTCTACTATGATACATGGGCATTACGATCATGGCCGACAATAACATATGATTTTTTGGAGCAGGCACGACAAGCATCATTCTTTTCCATCCCTTGGAACTCAGCAATTAAGCGAGCCGTTGACGTGCACAATAAAGGAATCCCACGTAATCATCCATTAATCGAAGTTCAATCAGCTTTTGGTGGAGCAGCTATCTATGCAGCTCAGTATTTGAGTAAAGAATGTGCGTACAATGGTTGGATGGATCATGGATGGTGGTTTACTCGAGAACAATGTGAACATGTTTCATTTAATCAATGCGTTAGACGAAACGCGGGTGGAGGAAAATTTTTTATTAATCCACAATTTCAAACTGTATAAAATCAGCTTATAATAAATCACTGTTAGAGACAGTTGTCCTATCATCGCTTACTTCGAACAAATTCCACTCACTGAAAGAATAGAAAGGAGGATCGTGAAACAGAGAATTATTATATCCAAGCGAGTTGAAAAATCAAAAGAATCGCATTAAAATGATGATTCAAACATAAATATTGATGTATTTCGAATTTATCGGTTGAAACAGACATTTTCGTCAAATTCCCAACTTGGTAAAAGAACTACGACTGGAAACAACTGAATCTGATCGATTTCCAGAGAATTATGAAAGTGGAACTTCTAAATCGATTACAACTTTCAGTCTCGGCTTAGTTCTCCTCTGTTTCTGGATGCGATATCTATGTCTGCATACGACGATAGGGTACGGTGTGTGACCTGTCCCCTCAGCCTCATGATGACATAAGCCTTTACTTGATGAATTGACGATTCTTATAGAAAGCAGACGCTGTTTTCTGAAGTTTCTTCTGTTTCACTTTTGTGAAAAATCAACGCAAAGAAAATACTCTAATCGATTAAAAATGGATTAGAAATTGTTCAAAATCATA